AGGCTGGGCCGGTACTCGGCAGCAGGGCCACCAAGGACAGCAGGGCCGCATGGGCCAGTACTCGGGAGGAGAGTCACCAAGGACAGGCTGGGCCGCATGGGCCGGTACTCAGAAGCAGGGCCACCAAGGACAGCAGGGCCACACGGGTCAGTACTCAGGAGTAGGGCCACCAAGGACAGGCTGGGCCGGTACTAGGGAGCAGGGCCACCAAAGATAGGGTGGGCCACACGGGCCAGTACTTGGGAGCAGGGCCACCAAGGACAGGCTGGGCTGGTACTTAGGAACAGGGCCACCGAGGACAGGCTGGTCTGCACAGGCCAGTACTTAGGAGCAGGGCCACCAAGGACAGGCTTGAGGAGGCAAGATGGCCCCTGTCTCCGTGGAGAATGGGCGAGGCCTGTTTGAATAATTCTGTGGGCTGGCGCGTGTATTGGGTGAGGACCAGATGGGGGGTAGCTGGTCCAGCTTACTGGGAAACCATCAAGGTGGGGGGCTCTCTCAGGGGTGGGGTGATATCTGTCAAGGGCAGGGAGCTCCCAGGCCTTTGGGCTCCGTGAGACTCGAGAATGTCAAGGCAGGTTTTGAATCTTCAGGTCTTGGGACAACGTCCTCAGGGGTACATTCAGGGGGCAACACAAGGAATGTGTCGTTCTCTGCACACATGTTGCTTCCTGTTGCCTGGTGAACAGGGTAAGACAACCAACCTTGTAGGACAGGAAATGCGTAAACCAAATAAATACGGACGTGCACGTCTCAGGCGTTCAAAAGAGAACAGGTGTTTTTCCAAAAGAGGTCGTTCAAGGTCGGAGAGGCTAAGTGAGACTCACGCCCAAAAGGATGGGTGGGGTTACTGGGCAGCAGGTGACCAGATCCAGGCAACCTGGTCATCCCAGGGCAGGGACACCCATTGTGGTCAGGCTGGAGCCTGCCTCGGGATCACCTGTGCGTGTTTGGGAGGGGACGTTGTTAGAAACAGACTCCCAGGCCGCACCCCCCTACTGAATCTCAGTCTCTCGGGGCCTGGAATTTGACTTCCTAAACAAGTTGTCTCAGAAGCTCTTGTTTGCGTTCTCTGATCGCGGCATTCTGCCTTATTACAGACGCTCGCGAGTTTCATTCAACATTTCTAGTAACCCCATAATTTAAGCCGTGCTCTTTATAGTGAACGTTTTTTCTGGTAGCTGTAATAATATTTCTAAAACTGTCGATGGAACCTGGTCAAATATCCCAAGATGCTCATAATAATGTAATTTTAAAGGATGGTTCTTCAAAAGATACGTAGGAAGCAAAGACGAACCGCGGGAAAATGTACAGGAAGCAGAGCAGGCTTTGGCTCCTTGTCCCCAGCTTTTAATAAAGTAATCTCTTCACTCAACAGTAGTTCCATAGAAGTAGCAAAGTAAATTAGACATTTGTTGGTTCAGGATCACCTGAAAAATGGATGTCTGCAGAATAAAGAGTCCCTCTGGCACCTGCTCAGAAGGTTGGACGCAGTCACCTGTGACCCGACCGCCCCACTCCTGTGCTGTAACCAAGAGAAACGGAAGATGTGTGTGCATACAAACACCTGCATGTGATTAGCCGATTCACAAGAGCCAATAACATTTGGGGGAAAGCCCAAAATGTCCATCAACTAATGCACACACAAGTGTGATATAGCCACATAGTGGGATTTACTCAGCAATAGCTATGAAGGAAGCCCGCCCTCCGCCCCAGTGTGGACGACGCTTGAAAACATTACGCCAAGTGAGAGAAGCCATTCGCAAAGCTCCCTGTATTGTGCGATTCTGCGTGTCCGAAAGTCCCCAGCAGGCAAATCCGCAGAGACAGAAAGTCAACCAGGAGCTGCCGGGGGCCGAGGGGAGAAAGGGAGTAATTGTCAAGGGTGTGGGTTTGTTTCGGGCTGGTGGAGAAGTTTTCAGATTGACCGGTGACGGTTGCATAACTCTGAATATTCTAGAAATGGTTGATTTGCACACTTTAAATAAGTGAATTGAATGGTATACGAATTATAGCTCAGTAAAGCTGTCATCTGAATAACGAATTGCTGAACAACAGGACCATTTGCTAAAACCCTCAAAGCACTGAGACTGACTCTCCAGCACCACGTGGGCCGAATCCGCAGCCTGACAAGAAAGCCACGTCGTTCCCACGATCACACCCCGGCCTTCTCTCCGTCGGCAGATTCCGCATCAACCTCCCCGGCAGTGACCTTACGGTCCCTTTTCCCTTAAGTCATAACTGTCCCTTCTTCCCCTCAAATACAACCTCACCATCTCCTGCCCTAAAAGGAGAAGGAGAAATCGTAGGAGTGACATTGGAACCCCGATCAGGGAACCTGCACTGTGCACCTGCTCGGGAAAAGCAAAGTCAAGTCAAGGAACTGGAATCTGTTCTCTGTTTACCCCGCCGCTGCATCTGCATTCTGCCAGCATTAACCCTGACCTCCGTGCTCAGGCCAGGCACCCTGGCTCAATGATTCCACCCTCCGCGGATGCACGTCTCCACACTTGTTTTGTTGATAATCCAACCCAGTGTCCTTGAGAAAGCGCCCCGGACACGGTGTTACAAGGACTAGACGGGATACAAAGCGTGTCCACACATCACAGTATTGGGACATGCGTGGATATCTCCATCAGCACAGGTACGTGCGTGTACAAGCAAGTAGGAAATCTACGTCACGCTAGTGAGAAATACGCCAAAATGAACACGGTTACGGGATTCCTGGTAGCCTGTATTTTCTTCCCTATCGTCTATATTTCAAGTTTTCAACGAAAATGAAACACGTGTGACTTTTATCACGTAACGTTATTTGCAAAATATTCCAGGACAACGTGGTTGACTACACAAAGTCATGTTTACATGGTGAGAACGAGCCGCATCGGCATAAAAGGGTAGAAAACTTTCCCATGTCCTTTGCTCCTTTAAAACCTGCCTCTCGGGGCGCCTGGGTGGCGCAGTCGGTTAAGCGTCCGACTTCAGCCAGGTCACGATCTCGCAGTCCGTGAGTTCGAGCCCCGCGTCAGGCTCTGGGCTGATGGCTCAGAGCCTGGAGCCTGTTTCCGATTCTGTGTCTCCCTCTCTCTCTGCCCCTCCCCCCTTCATGCTCTGTCTCTCTCTGTCCCAAAAATAAATAAACATTGAAAAAAAAATAATTAAAAATAAAAAAATAAAAAAAATAATAAAAAAAAAAAAAACCTGCCTCTCGAACCAGACATTGTTTGACATCCTTTACTGTTTCAGCTTTTCATAACGGTCCATCAGTACAGAACAGACTTTTTCTTTCCAGAAATGCAATGGGGATTTGTTTTCTGAAGAGAAAATGAAAAGATCAAAAAGCAGTGTTTCACGCGAGGGGCACCCCATCCCAGGAACACTCGTTACGTGCGGGCAGGAGGCCAGGTGTCTCCGCGCCCCTAACCAGGCTTCGCCTCGGGAAGGACCCTTGCCTTCTCCGAACCTCCCCGCCTCCTGGCTCACGGAAGGAGGGGCTTGGCTCAGAGGATTGTTTAAATTTGCTGGAGCTCCGACCCCCCTGCATCCCGTTAGCCCGAGTTCTTCAGACACTCTCCACCTTGGTGTCGGCACCAGTTTGCAGGCTGATTAGTAAGTCTGCGGAATGTGCCAGAGGGACCAGGAATGCACTGTGGCAGTGACGCTCCCGCTCGCCTACGACACCCGAAGGAGGTGCAGACAATGCAAGGAGTTTGAACGGTGAAACCATTTGGAGAAGGGAAACGTGAAAAGGGGGCGGAGGATGTGCAGAAGTCTTTGCAAAGCTGCAGATTGCTTCTCCGAGCCATGGATGACTGTCACGTGTGCACAGGAGAGAACCGGTGTGGGCACAATTCCAAACCACCTGACGTAAGGATAATAGTCTCTGACAGCTCTAGTTAATCTTTAAATAACTGAGGAGTTGTGGGGCGCCCGCACCCCTTTCTTTAACGAGGTGACACATTGCTTGTAGGGAAATGTCAGCTGCTCCGTAGCTGAGGCTGTGGGGGCTGGCAGCACCCCCACCCCGGCCCCGTCTGGTCTTCCCAGCACATTCCCCCCACGTCACGGGCATGGGGTGCAGGGTGCAGGGCACGGGGTGCAGGATGCGGGACGGAGGGTGCGGGGTGCAGGGCGCTTGCCTCCTGGTTGCTTCAGGACCCTTTGCAAATGTCGGGCTTCTTTCGTAACTCTGTGCTCATCACTCAATTATTCACTGAGTTCTTACGGTAACAGTGTTATA